GTGAGGGGCTAGCAGGTGGTATGGTGATTAAGATGCTGGATTCCCACATGGTTGACCACAGTTCGAGGCCCGGATCTGGCAGCTTGAAAATAACAACAAATAAATAAATAAATAATTCTTTATAAAAACCAAGATACCAGGGACAGCCGGTAGTGTAATGGTTGGGGCAGCTAGATCCCACATGGCCGACTGCCTGGTTGAGTACTGGACCCACCAGCTTGAAAAATACTCCTGTTGTGTGTGTGTTGTATGTGTGTTTGTGTGTGTGTGTGTGTGTGTGTGTGTGTGTGTGTATTTGTATGTCCAAAATCTTGAGAGGAGGATGAAGGAGAAGGGATTGCAGTGTGGCCATCTCTCTGGGGAGAGCTTTCTCACTTTTCCTCTCTGTCTCTCCAGAGAACACACATGCCCTATAGCAAATTCAAAAAAAGAAAAAGATACCATGTAATTCTAGAAAGATAGAATGGTGGGGCTAGAAAGTTCATGTAGTCAAACTCTCTGACTTTACAGATAGATGAATTGAGGTACAGAGAGGTGAAATCCCTGCTTAAAGTCAGAGCAAGTTAGTAAGGGTCACTAGCTGTTGAACTCCTAACCACTGCCCAGATGGTATCATTGAGTTCATTACCTTTGAGGGGTCTAGATTTGGCCCTGAGTCTTGTCTTTTTAGACTTATAATGAGCACTCAAGGCTACTGCACAGTGATCCAGGGATCCAGTCTCAGCCCGGTAACCCCAGGCAAACAAGCGTCTCCTGATGGATTTTTAAATGCCCCAACCTCCGATTCTCATCCCTTCTAATATGAGTCAGGGTCACAGTTTGGGATCCATTTTTACTGGAAAAGAGGCAAGAGAGTGATCTCAAAGAAGCCTGACCAATGGCCCTGTGACCTGAAGTTCCACAGCAGGCTCTGAGCTAGTCTGATCTAGCTCTGCTGGACACTGCAAAAGACTTCTGCCAAAGTCCAGAGATTGCTTTAAAAATACCTTGCTCCTAAAGTCAGCAATTAAGTGGCAAACCCAGAAAGACACTGAACCATGTAATCAAGACCCCTAAGATGGGGAGGAGAGACAGCTTACTCTGTCCCTGATCCCATCTTGGTTCACTGAAGGCGGAGTGTACCATTTTTCCCCATATATAGAACATTCTGTCTCCATCAGAGTGGCCCATTAGCCTGACCCATCTTGTGTCCAATAATGAACCTTCCTTACCATTGT